GCATCACGCCGGCTGCCTCCCGCACGCCCCACCCTGGGGATCAAGCCCACAACCTGGGCCCGTGCCCTGACCGGGAACGGAACCCTGAGCTCCTGGCTCCTAAGTCAATGCTCAACCCCTGAGCCACGCCGGCCGGGGACACTGAACATCTTTAGACCAAGGGTCCTTCTCATGTCAAAACCGGTGCGGCTCAGTGGGTAGAGCGTCGGCCTGCGGACTGAAGGGTCCCGGGTTCGATTCCGGTTCAGAGCATGCACCTTGGTGGCGGGCACATCCCCAGTAGGGGGTGTGCAGGAGGCAGCTGGTCCATGTTTCTCCCCATTGGTGTTTCTAACTCTATCCCTCTCCTTTCCTCTCTGTAAAAAAAAATATCAATAAAATATGTTATAAAAAACAAGAGTCCTCTCACGATGAACGGCATGCAGCCCTGTGGAGGGAGCACGTGAGCACCCGTGGATCTGACACGTAATGAAACCCGCACCCTCCCGGCCACCCCTTGGCGGGTACTGCCAGGCTCCTGACTGACAGAGAGGCCTGGAGGCCGTGAGCACAGCAGCTCAGACTGGCTCCCGGGAGCCAGGATCTGCACGCAGCCTGCCCTCCTCCAGAGCCGGTCCCCACGACAGCGTAACCCGAGAGGCACAGGCGCCGGCCGCCAAGGTGAAGGTGACTCATTCCGACGGGAGGGGGGGAGGCCGTCAGCCAGAGGCCAGCAGAGCCAGGGCCCAGGGCCCAGCGCACATGCCAACACAGAGGGGCTGGGTGTGGACAGCTGGTGCCTGTGTGTGCGCGCATGCATGTGCGTGTGTGTGTGTGTGCGTGTGTGTGCGAGTACATGTGAAGCACAGTGGCTCATTCCGCTGGGACCGTCTCGGTGGAGGTGTGAGAGCTGCCGCTCAGAGTGGGCAGGACGGGGGCCAAGGCGCCCACGGCTGAGCCCCGAGCACCCGCTGCTATGTTCTCGGAGGCTCAGGGCACGCCAGCCCGGCTCCGGCTGGTTGGCTCCGTGATCGGGCGGCGGCCACAGACTGATTCCTGGTCAGAGGCCCAGGCCAGGCAGGCAGGAGGTGACCATCGATGTGGGTGTGTCTCCCCTCCCCTCTCCCCGCTCTCTCTAGCAATCAATGGGGGGGGGGGGGGAATATCCTTGGACGAGGATGGAAAGAGAGAAGGAAAAGCTGGCCCCACCCCAGGTCTCCGCAGCGCTCCTTATTCCTTCAGAACCTGAGCCAGGATGTTTACGGCGTCGGAAGCAGATGACAATCTCTTTGTGCCTCCGACTTGAGCAAACAGAGGCCTCGGGGAGAACCTTGGCCGAGGAGTGACCTGACCACACGCGACCCCCCGCGACCCCGGAGCAGACGGACGGTCCCTCTTCACAGACCCTGGCGGCCGGAACCGGGGTCTGGGCCTCGTCCCCGCCTCGCCTCCCAGAACCCACACCCCCCGTCCGCCCGCGGTGGCCCGTCCGCAGCACAGGGGGGGGGGTCGTTAGAGCCGGCCGGGGGGCTCGGGCGAGCGTCCACCTGGGGACCGGGGGTCAGGACGCAGGCCGGGCTGTGGGCTCAGTCCCCGGGGGGGGGGGGGGGGGGGCGAGCGGGAGGCAGCCGATCCGTGATTCTCTCTCACCATGGATGTTTCTCTCTCTCTCCTTTCTTCCCTGAAATCAATAAAAGCGCTGTGTCTTTTTAACTAAAAGGAATAAAAATGAAGAGCGGAGCCCGGGCAGGCGAGCGTCCCCCGGCACACGGCCGCGCGCTCCCTCACGCACACCCGCATCCGGAAGCACCGGGGTTCAGACTCGCTCAGACGGCTGTGCTTCTCCCCTTCCTCCCAGCTCCGGGGATTAGTTCCCGCCCTCCGCCGGGAGCACGCCTCGTTCTGTTCCGGTTCCTAGAAGCTCACGTCGCCGTCGCCACAGCCAGGCCGCTAAATTACTAAGCCCGCGGCCTGACCGCCTGACCTGGGCGACCGGGCCTGCCCACTGTCACCCCCACCCCGCTCCCCGCTCCCCGCTCAGCACCGGCTCCGCGCCCTCAGGCTGAGCCTCTCGGAACAGGACGCGCTTCCCCCGGAAAGTCAGACGGAGCGCTCGGAGCTGCCCTCCCCACACCCCACGAAGCGCACGGCCTCGGCACCACGGGGCCCGCTCCGGCCGAGCCTCCCGCTTCCGGCCCACCTCCCGCCTCCAACCCTCTCCACCCCCATCCCATCGCTGCTCCCCGGGGCGCCCAGGCCGGGGGCCTGCGGGAGGAAGCAGGGGCGCCTGAAGGCAGGTCTGGGAGGCCAGGGGAAGGGCTGCTGTTCTGCAGGAGCCGTGCTATCATTCATCCATTCATTCATTTGTTCACTCATTCATCCGTTCACTCATTCATCCATTCACTCATTCATCCGTTCACTCATTCATCCATTCACTCATTCATCCATTCACTCATTCATACACTCACTCATTCATCCATTCATTCATTCATTTGTTCACTCATTCATCCATTCACTCATTCATCCATTCACTCATTCATCCATTCACTCATTCATACACTCACTCATTCATCCATTCATTCATTCGTTTGTTCACTCATTCATCCATCCATTCATTCATTTGTTCATTCATTCATCCATCCATTCATTTGTTCACTCATTCACTCATTCAACCATTTATTCATTCACTCTTTCGTTCATTCACTCATTCATTGATTCACTTGTTCATCCATCCATCCATTCATTCATTCACTCATTCATCCATCTATTCATTCATTTGTTCATGCATTCACTCATTCATCCATTCACTCATTCATTCATTCACTTGTTCACTCATTCACCCATCCATTCATTCATTTGTTCACTCATTCATCCATCCATTCGTTCATTTGTTCATTCATTCATTCATCCATCCATTCATTTGTTCACTCATTCAACCATTTATTCATTCACTCGTTCACTCACTCATTCATTCATTCCCTCGTTCATCCATTCATTCACTCATTCATTCATTCACTTGTTCATCCATCCATCCATTCATTCATTCATTTGTTCGATACACACGCATTGAGAATATAGTCTCCTGGGACCTGGGACCTGGGCCCACTCAGGAAACAAAAGCGGGCATGGCCAGGCGGCAGCCACAGAGCCGGCGGAGTGGGAAGGCAGGACAGGTTACTCAATAGCCTCACACACTCAGAATTAAAATGGAGAAGAGACTCCAAGGGGGGTACAGCTCTGCAAGCGTGTGACGAAGAACCTGTCCTAGTCAGGGGCCGAGACAAGCTCCCAGGTGTGCAGTGCCTGGACGCCGCAGGATTCGGAGGGGAAAGGAGGGAGGAGGGAGGAGGGAGGAGGGAGGAGGGAGGAGGGAGGGGGGGAGAGGAGGGAGGGGGGAAGAGGGAGGAAGGAGGGAAGAGGGAGGGGGGAAGAGGGAGGGGGAAGAGGGAGGGGGGGAAGGGAGAGAGGGGAGGAGGGAGGAGGGAGGAGGGAGGGGGGAGGAGGGAGGGGGGAGGGGGGAAGAGGGAGGAAGGAGGGAAGAGGGAGGGGGGAAGAGGGAGGGGGAAGAGGGAGGGGGGAAGGGAGAGAGGGGAGGAGGGAGGAGGGAGGGGGGAGGAGGGAGGAGGGAGGGGGGAAGAGGGAAGAGGGAGGAGGGAAGAAGGAGGAGGGAGGAGGGAGGAGACAATATTCTGGGAAGAGGAGAATACCCCAGAGTCCTGGAGAACGAGGTGGAGGGCTGTTGGGGGGGGGGGGGAAGCAGGCTGCACCCCTAACTCCTTCTTCAGCCCCATGGCCCTGAGGCTGCCGAGCAGCCTGCACCCCATCTCCAGCAGCCTGGGCCGAGCGAGCCCCTCCCCCGCGCTCCCCCAGCTCCCCCTGCCTCCATGCCCGCCCTCCGCCCTCCGGACACACCCTGCTCTGTGTCCTCCAGGAAGGCCCCCGAGTGCCTAGCCAGGATCCCTCCCGCTGGACGTGGTGCCCTGGAGCCCACCCCCGTCTGCAGCAGACTGACCTCGCCTGGAGGCAGTGTCCTGGGAGCGGGCACCCAGCACCCAGCACCCAGCACCCAGGCCAGGACAGGGAGCGTCGCCCGGGGAAAGGTGCCCGGGACAGACGGCTGGGAAGGCAGGCCCGGCCCGAGGGCACTGGGTGGGCGAACCTCAGACCAGAAGCCGGGGACTTCCGGTCCCTGGAGGAGCCAGAGAGAGCCCTGCAGACGGTCCCTCCCTCCCGACAGCGCCCCCCGCGGGCTCCGCAGCGGCTCCCAGACCCGCGGGCTCCGGCACAGGGAGGGCATCTCAGCGAGAACCATACGTCACGGCCATCCCCGCGGGCGGTCCTAACACAAACCCTCCCTCCGGGACGGCGGCGGGTCCACAGGTGTCAGAGCCGGAGGAGGAGGCCGTCCTCCCACCGCCGCTCAGGGTGCTGCGGCCCTGGCCTGCCTAAGCCCGGCTCTCCCGGAGGCAGCCTGGCCCTGGGGCCGTGGCAGGCTCTGACACGTTCAGTGGGGGCCCCTGGCGTGTAGGGGCGGGGCCGGCTGCAGCCGCACCTCCCACAGGGACGAAGCCTCACACCGACGGGTGACCCCACCGGCCCGCAGCGCCGACGGGCGAGGCCGGGAGCCTGGCACCGGTACACGGGGGCACATGCGATGATCTCACAAGTCTAGACACAGCGATCACAACGTGCGGCCATTTTAACGCAGTGAGGTTCTACCTGACCAGTGGTATTCGTGGGAAACATGTGTGTGCATGTGTGTGCGTGCGCACGTGTGTGCGTGTGTGTGTGCGTGCACGCATGTGTGTGCGTGCCTGTGTGTGCGTGCCTGTGTGTGCGTGCCTGTGTGTGCGTGCCTGTGTGTGCGTGCCTGTGTGTGCGCGCCCGCGTGTGTGTGCGTGCCTGTGTGTGTGTTCACGCGTGTGTGTGCGTGCCTGTGTGTGCGTGCCTGTGTGCGCGTGCCTGTGTGTGCGTGCCTGTGTGTGTGTTCACGCGCGTGTGCGAGCGAAGCGGACGCTCACCTGTGCATGTGCTCCGTGCCGAGGAGGACCATGATGCAGTAGGAGATCCCGCTCTGCACCAGGAAGTGCAAGGCGTACCTGCAGAGAGGAGAGCGTGTGAGTCCGGGCGGCACCACTCACAACGTCCGGCTCGAACAACTTGGGCTGAAAAGTGCCACGCTTAGCCCGGCCGGCTGGCTCAGCGCTGAGCGTCCACCTGGGAAGCAGGAGGCCAGGGCACAGGCCCCGGGTGCGGGCTCCATCCCAGTGTGGGGCGTAGGGGAGGCAGCCGGTCCATGATTCTCTCATCATGAATGCTTCTCTCTCTCCCTCTCCCTTCCTCATGGAGATCAATAAATATATATATATATACTTCCCTGTTTCCCCGAAAATAAGACAGTGTCTTATATTAATTTTTTCTCCCAAAGTTACGCTAGGTCTTATTTTCTGAGGATGTCTTATTTTCAGGGAAACACGGTAGTGGCCCAGTGCACGAAATTCGTGCACGGAGTGGGTGGGGGTTGTCCCTCAGCCCGGCCTGCACTCTCTCCAAGCTGAGACCGCTCAGGGATCAGCCTAAACTGCAGCCGGACATCCCTTTCACAATCCAGGACCGCTGGATCCTAACCACTCACCTGCCTGCCTACTTGATTGCCCCTAACCACTGTGAATGCCAGCTGCTCGCCCCCAACTGTCCCCCCCCCCCCCGCTGGCCTGATGGCCCCTAGCCGCCTCTGCCTCGGCCCCACCACCATGGCGTTGTCCAAAAGGACGGTCTCCGGGTCCAATTAGCATATTACCCTTCTATCAGTATAGATATACATACGAGTGCACAATTAAAGTGCTAAGCATAACACCGAGCACCCCCAGACGAAAAGCAGACTCAAACCTCGAAGCCCAAGAGCCAAGCCGACTGCACCGGGTGCCTCAGGCCCCACGTCTCCCAGCCACGTGCCACACCGTGCCCGGCTCCCGGCCACGGCCTCTGCCAGACTCAGGGCCCAGGACGGGGAGCAGGGTTCCAGAAAAGTCCGGGAGGGACATCGAACCAGCTCCTCCCGGGCAGCCCTGTGCTCTCCCTCCGGGGGCCGCTCACAACGCAGCAAAAGCTCGAGCCATCGGCATGGACTGGAGCCGCGGTGGGCAAACTGCGGCTCTCTGGCCCCGGACTGTGGCTCTTCCACAAAGCACCACGGCCCGGGCGAGTCTGTGTGGAAGACGTGGCGTTAGAAGAAGTTTAAGATTAAAAAATGCGGCTCTCCAAAGACATGTCAGTCGTTGTCCTGCTGATATTTGGCTCTGTGGACGGAGGAGTTTGCCGACCACTAGAGAGCATGCGTGCCCAACCTGCTTATTCTGAAACGGGGTGTGTGTGTGTGTGTGTGTGTGCGTGTGTGTGTGTGGTGTGTGTGTGTGGTGTGTGTGTGTGGTGTGTGTGTGGGGGTGTGGAATGAGCTTCCGGGGGCCTCGGTGCCGGACCAGCCACACACCCTCCGCTGGTGGCCCGGGAGCCGGGCGCTGAGGGCACGCCCTGAGCCCTGCCCTCCCGCCTCAGGCTAGGCTCCGGGGGCTCCGGCTGTAATCGACCCCACCCCCGGCGGCCGCACACGTGTGCAGACGTCCACGCCCGTCCCCGGGCGGCCCGGATCACTCACAGAGACTTTGTCAGGTCACTGTACACGGTTTTCACGGACTGATGCGGGTCCTACCCTCCATTAAAGTTACCTTCAGCCTCAGCGTCATGGAGTAACAGGCACCTCCAACGTGGACAGGATGCCTACACTCTTTACCAAGTTTTTCCGTAGAAATATCATAAATAAGAAGCAGGTTCGCCGAAACCGGTTTGGCTCAGTGGATAGAGCATCGGCCTGCAGACTGAAAGGTCCCGGGTTCGATTCCGGTCAAGGGCATGTACCTTGGCTATGGGCACATCTGCAGTAGGGGGTGTGCAGGAGGCAGCTGATCGATGACTCTCTCTCTCTCCGATGTTCCTAACTCCCTTCCTCTCTGTAAAAAATCAATAAAATATGTTTTTTGGTTTTTGTTTTAAAAAGTAGGTTCCACGGCAGAACACACACACACACACACACACACACGGCCTGGAGTGCTGCTATAAACACACACACACACACACACACACACACACACACAGGGCCTGGAGTGCTGCTATAAACACACACACACACACACACACACACACACGGCCTGGAGTGCTGCTATAAACACACACACACACACACACACACACACACACACGACCTGGAGTGCTGCTATAACACACACACACACACACACACACACGACCTGGAGTGCTGCTATAAACACACACACACACACACACACACACACACGGCCTGGAGTGCTGCTATAAACACACACACACACACACACACACACACACACACACACGACCTGGAGTGCTGCTATAACACACACACACACACACACACACACACACGACCTGGAGTGCTGCTATAAACACACACACACACACACACACACACACACACACACGGCTTTAAGTGGCCTGTCTGTCTTGGTGTAAGGGGTTTGTAAAACAGGCGAAGAGAGCTATGCCTGATGGGATAAGAGTCTCTATCCTCCTCTGTCCTTTTTCATACATTAGTCATCGCCAACACCCTCAGCCCGGACCAGAGCGACAGGCCCACTGGCCACTCATTGACATAAAAACCACAAAGCATCAGTCGTGGCTGGAGTGGCTCAGCAGGCTCAGCATCACGCTGTGCACCAAAAGGTTGCAGGTTCGAATCCCAGTCAGGGCACAGGCCCGGGATGCGGGCTGGATCCCCAGTTGGGGGTGTGCAGGAGGCAGCCAATCCATGGTTCTCATCATTGGTATTTCTCTCTCTCTCCCTCTCCCGTCCTCTCTGAAATCAATACAAATACATTTTTTAAAACACCCAAAAAAGCACTATGAGATGTTATAAGAAACTCATAGAGGCCTGATGCACAAAGATTTGTGCAAAAATGTAGCCGCCTTTCCCCCTTCCCACGCTGCCCAGAGGCCCGGAGCGGCTGGGGTGGTGCAGGACGCCTGTGTATGCAAATTAACCCGCCATCTTAGTTGGGTTACTTTGCATACACACTCCTGATTGGTGAAGGTACGATCGATTTGCATCTTGCTCTTTTGTTGGTGCAGATATGAGCACAAAACCTCCGAGTGTATCTTTCTACACACTCGATTCACAAGGACGTCCATCCTCATTCCACAGGACCAACATACTCACCATCCAAAGCAGAAAACGGCGAGATACAGGCCCAAGAGCGTGGCCACGACATGTCTGATAAAAGAGCTCGTTTTGCTCGAGTGAAGGTAAGTTCGAAACCACACGGCCGCTAGCAAGGCAAAGAGCTGGCACACCACGAAGTTGACCTGTGAAGAGAAGGCGAAAGGCCCCGTTAGCAACGCAGACTGGACTTCTCCAAGTTTCTCTCTCACCAGGGATGTTTCTCTCTCTCCCTCTCTCTATTTTCCTCTCTGACATCGTACCCCAGTCACCTGGGAGCGGCAGCCCGTTGGGACAGAGGACAGGGGACAGGGCCCCTTCGCTGCATGCTCTCTCCCTCTGCGTCCTGCTCAGTGGGCCGTTAGCATCTACCCTGCAGGATGCTGCTGGTCTCCCAGCTTCCAGACCAGCCCCTGAGCGCCAGGACTGAACATAATAACTATCCCCGGACCCTGAGCTCCCTGGGCTGCATCCCCTGAGGCGTGGCAGGCTGGCCAGGCCTTACAGGAGAGGACCTGTCACACGTGGCCAGCCCACAGCGGGACGGAGGCAGGAAGCAGGCTCGCAGGGATGGTCAGTACCCGCTGCCCGCCAGCTCCTTACCGCACCCCGCGCCACAGGGAGAGTCTCGGCCCAGGAGGAGGCATGGAGGGCCAGCTGAGGCGGGGAGGGGGGGGACGTCCCAACTAACCCAGCCTCACGGCCATGTGATGGAGCTTGGGGCAGGGCGAGCATGCGGGGACAGGGAGCCAAGCTCTGACTGGCCCCCAGGCACAGATCCGGGGGCGGGGGGACGCTGGTGAGGGGCTGGTCTGCTGCCCGTGGCCTCGCTCCGCTCACTCACTCGGACACGTGACTGGCAGCGAGCTCATCCCTAAACAGGATAAAGCGGGATAAACAGGAGGGAAAGAGGAGCCAGGGCCCCGTTTTCCCCAGAGGGTTTGGAGCGTGAGGCTGCGCACGTGTGTGCCTGTGTGTGTGTCCCTCCACACTGTCTCTCCGTGGGGACACACAACACCCCGGAAGGCCTGCCGAGGGCAGAGCAGTCTCATTCTGCACGATGGGTGAACAGGCGCTCACGTCCGCGCCAGGACCCGGGGCGGCACGGAGGGAGGGCCGCGGTCACACGGCTGCCGCCGCCCGCACCACGGCCCCCGGCCAGGGAGGCCCCGGGAGGACGGCACCCGCTGCGCCCGCTCCCCCCCCCCCCCACCCCCGCTCCCAGTAAACGCCGAACAGGCCAGCAGAAGCAGGTCTGGGGTCACCCGGGGACGCGGGGGAGGGAGCGGCAGGGTCTGAAATAACCTCACAGATTGGTTTGCTTGCTTATTAGAATTGCTGCCAACATTTCCCTCCCTCCCTCCCTCACTCACTCATTCATTCATTCATTCATTCATTCATTCATTCCCGCGACGGCGATCGGAAGCATCAGCCCCAGCAGGTACAGCGTTCCTGTCCGAACTGAACGTGAGAGCAGACCTGCCCGGGGGCCGCACCTGATCGGGGGAAGCACCGCCCCCACACAAACAACAAATCCCAGCAACGCCGCTCTGGCCCCCGGGAACCGACAGGCTCCGGCCCCCGGGAACGGACAGGCTCCGGGAACGGACAGCCCCGGCCCCCGGGAACGGACAGGCTCCGGGAACGGACAGGCTCCGGCCCCCGAAAACGGACAGGCTCCGGCCCCCGGGAACGGACGGCCCCCTGTGAACGGACAGGCTCCGGCCCCCGGGAACGGACAGGCTCCGGCCCCCGGGAACGGACAGGCCCCGGGAACGGACAGGCTCCGGGAACGGACAGGCTCCGGCCCCCGGGAACGGACAGGCTCCGGGAACGGACAGGCTCCGGGAATGGACAGGCTCCGGGAACGGACAGGCTCCGGCCCCCGGGAACCGACAGGCTCCGGCCCCCGGGAACGGACAGGCTCCGGGAACGGACAGGCTCCGGGAACGGACAGGCTCCGGGAACGGACAGGCTCCGGCCCCCGGGAACGGACAGGCTCCGGCCCCCGGGAACGGACAGGCTCCGGCCCCCGGGAACGGACAGGCTCCGGGAACGGACAGGCTCCGGCCCCGGGAACGGACAGGCTCCGGGAACGGACAGGCTCCGGGAACGGACAGGCTCCGGCCCCTGGGAACGGACAGGCTCCGGCCCCCAGGAACGGACAGGCTCCGGGAACGGACAGGCTCCGGGAACGGACGGCCCCCTGTGAACGGACAGGCTCAGGGCCGCCTCAGCATCGTCAGGCTCAGCTCGATGCCACACCCACTGCCAACACGGCGATCGGTCTGAAGCTACTCCGCCTCCACCTGACACACTGCCTCTCCCATAAAGACCGCGTGCACCGCCATAAAGCGTGTTTGTTAGTGACTCGCGGGGACGGGAGGCCCCGGCCTCTGAAACACTGCCAGCAGCACAAAGAGCACATGGTCCGAATGGAAACGTTTAATTTCCCACTTTTTAAAGAATCTGGGAAGGTTAAGACACTGCTGCCAAAAAAAAAAAAAATCAATAAAATAAATTTCTTATATATATATTAAAAGCCCAGTGATTTCCTTATTGTTTCAGACGCAAGGAACCTCCTCTCGCCAAAACCGGTGTGGCTCAGCGGTGGAGCGTCGGCCTGTGGACTGAAAGGTCCCGGGTTCGATTCCAGTCAAGGGCATGGACCTTGGTTGCGGGCACATCCCCAGTAGGGGCTGTGCAGGAGGCAGCTGGTCGATGTTTCTCTCATCGATGTTTCTAGCTCTCTATCCCTCTCCCTTCCTCTCTGTACAAAATCAATAAAATATATTAAAAAAAAAAAAACAAAACCCTCTTCTCCCAAGGAAACAAGCAGGTATATGCACCAAGTGTACAGATGGGAATTCATAGAACAAAACATTCCCCACGACTCAGGAATGCCTAACAACCTTGCACCCCAATGGGGACCCTCCCTCAGGTTTTGGAAAGCAACGAAACAGAATGGGGAACGACTCTCCAGAAGTAAAGGCAACGGTTACAATGATTTTACATTCAGTCTGAGCCCGATTCAAACACCCACACACACACTCATACACACACACACACACCACACACACATACCACACACCACACACACACAGACATGCACACACACACCACACACACACTCATACACACACACCACACACACAAACCACACACACACCACACACACACACCACACAGACATGCACACACACACCACACACACACTCATACACACACACACCACACACACACACACCACACACACACACACACACCACACACCACACACACACACCACACACACACACCACACACACATACCACACACCACACACACACACATACACACTCATACACACACACACACACCACACACCACACACACACACCACACACACTTACCACAGACACACACACATACCACACACACACACACCACACACCACACACACATACCACACACACACACACACACACACACACACCACACACCATACACACATACCACACACACACACACCACACACCACACACACATACCACACACACACACCACACACACACACACACACACACACCACACACCACACACACACACACACACACCACAAAAAACAGGACTCGGAATTGGGACGTGCCTCGGGGGCTTGCTGTCCGCCTGTCACCGCTCTGAGGGTGAAATACGAGTGACTCACGCAGGATCCCTCGTCCCCCCCCCTCCCCGCGTGCCTCAGCGCCGTTGCCCGGCCCTACGCCGCCATCTCGCCCTGGGTTTGAGGCCTTGGCCTGTAAGAAGCCAAAAGGCCGGACACCTATTCCGTCATCGCCAACAGCCCTGGGTTTGTGGAGACCGGGGAGCACGTGAGAGCCAACCCCCCATTTCTGATGAGCACAGGGGCCAACACCGCAGCCATGCTTTCACTCCGTTACCGTCCACAGGTGGCTGTTGGCTGTCAAGCACGCATCGGTAAGCCTCCTGCATAGAACTCGGAGCGAAAGCAGCCTAGACGCTTTCCATAATTACCGGGGAAAACATACATGTGTGGTTGTTACTGCAAGAGACTAAAACTCACGAGAACTCTGAGGAGGAGGGCCGCTGAGCTGCGCTGGGTACGGGGAAAGGGGTCCGTTCCCATGACAACTTCAGGGAGAGCCCGATAGCTTCGAGCCCGATGCTCGGCCGCTGTCGAAGGTCAGAGAGAGGCCCGGTGCTGCTGTAATTCTGTTCCTTGTAAAACGGCTTAGCGCCCTCACCTGGCCTTCCGGAGCCGCGCTCGATGTCCGCTGCGTGCCAGGCGGGCGTGAGGAATCTTTTCCAGAAAGGCCCCGAGTGGGGATCCCCCTCTAATTAGCGCCGCGTCTCCAGCCATCGGAACGGCGCCCTCACCCCCCCCACGCACACGGCCCGTTGATAACGGGCTGCCGTGCTAATCACACCGGCGGCGGCCGGCCAAGGGCGGGCCTCGAGGGCCGACCCGCTGTCGGGTTCCGTGCGTCGGGCCCCTAGTTCACGATAACAACGCAGAAGAAACAGCAGGAAGGACGCCGAGAGGAGGGCGGAGAGAACGGGGCGTCCCAACCTCACTGGCTCTCGAGGAAGCTTCTCTCGCTCCGAATCCCCGGAGGGAGGCCTGCGTGAGGACGGAGCGGGGACGCCGGGGCCGCGGCTGAGATCTGCTGGGTGGCGTTCAGCTCTAGCTCAATGCCAATGTCACCCCCCTCCAGGCCCCTGGCCCGAGACCGGGTGTGGGGGTCCACCCCTCAGGTCATCCCTCCAGCGTCCCGTGTGCTCAGACACGCTCTCTCGCACGGACACGCAAGCAGCCGGCGGGGGGCGGCCAGTCCCGGAGTCTAAAGACACGGCTCGGGGGCCTGCCCGGTGGCTGCTCTCCCAGTGCTGACTGTGTTCTGTGTGCGAGGAGGAGGACACGACGGAGGCAAAGGCAGCCCGCCTGCAGGCCAGCACGCCCCGCCCGCAGTGCCTGAAGAGGGCGCACTCAGACACTGAGGCACGGCCCCCTCCGGGGGCAGGAGCGCTCACGCACAGCCCTCGGACCCCACACCAGGCGACGAAGGGGTTTGAGACCCCATTTACTAACGGTCCAAAAGCAGCCGCAGGGAGGAAGAAGGGCCGGCCGGCCTGGCTCGGCCTTGG